TAAAAAGTAGAATCATGAAACGACATAATAATTAAAAATGTATGTAATGATAGTTGACTATAAGTCTAAATACAACAATGGTAATTTTTAAGTAAAACAAAAATAATTATGTATTAAGTAGAGAAGAATTGTTTTAGAATAAAGCATTGTGATTTTTCTGAAGAAAAAAAATCATTTCCTTCCAAAAAAATCATTCAAATAATCGACAGAATATGGTTTTGAGAAGAAACTCTTCCACACAGGAATTCAAATTAACAAGGGGAAAAATATTTTTTTTAGCAAGGCTTTCGAGCTATAGAAGTTCGATTTATCGAGAGTATACTGTATATATATACTAAGAGGCTTTTTTAAGGGGATTAAGATTTTAAAATACTGCAATGTAGCAATTTCTATAGCGTACTATTTGTCTCGTCTCAATATCCGGTAATATAAAATAAAACTGACTATCAATTCATGTCTAACACAATAAAGTGAGTAAAGCAAATGTGATTTTGAAAGTGACCTACATATAATTTTATTTTGTTTTACACTCACCTGTGAGAATGGCAATAGACCTGTCACAAAGACTAATGGGATTTTGTTCAGATAGCTGCAATGAGATGTCTGCAGATAGAACAACCCATCTTTAGACCATCTGACGGATCAAGGGGCGTTGATTGGGGGAGATTTTATGTGACCGAGAACAAGATTCGATTTATAAAAGAAAGTCTACATCTGTTTTGAAATAAATCACGAGTTCTCACTTTTTGCTGTTTTCTAATGATGCCTAACTGTATCGATATCCTTCTGTTCAAGAATGATACTAAACAGAAACATGACGGAAATGAGAATTTAAAAAAAAATATATAACTCTGTAAATTAAATGTAACAAAAAAAACGCTTATAGCTTCTTGAATCTTAAACATTTTCTTCGTTAACTTCTCGATGTTAATCTCAGAGTTAAACAAGACGTTTTCCTTATTTTTCTAGAATATGAAACATGCATTTTCATTTTCGTTGCTTTTTTTTAAATTGATTAAACATTAAACCATAATATTGATGTCCTGAATTATAATACGGTACAAATTTGATGTAACCTTAACAAGGTGTTAAATTATACCATGTTCTCCGTACAAGCAGAACCATAGTATTTTATAACTAAGTTTAAGAAATGCAACAATATAGTTCAATTTAGCACTATATTTAGTTTTCTAACCGTCATTGAACAGCCGACCCAATTTTGGGTTTACTATTACCTATTTTCAACTATATAGCTTTGTAATTTTGAACCCATGCCAGAAGACAAACGAACTTTAGTGGGGGACTTTTTGATGGAACTAACCCGCAGTGGCGTTACATGGAGAGGAAAATCACGAAAATATCCTCCGGTTAGCCTGACTTCAAGGGTACTCTAACCCAGCGGTTCTTAACCTATGGGTCGCGACCCAAAATTGGGTCGCGAAGCATATTTCTTGGGTCGCGCTGAGTCGAACCAAAAAAGTTAGTAATACACCAAATAATAAGTAATACCAACACTTCCAAGTAGTTAATGTTTAAAATAAAAAAGAAAATAAAAAAGTAAAAAAGAATTAACATAAGGGCCCTCTCTAAGAGGTAGAAAAATAGTTCCACAAAAGTGGCGCTGTTTAAGTCAAGGAATAAGTTAAAATGCCAATTATTTTCAAAAAGTTATAAATATATTTTAATTTGGTCAATAAAAATTATTAAAAACACTTGATTATTAATTAAATTTTCCTTGGATCGAAAAGTACTTTTGTTTATCTTTATTATTAAAAAAATAAATAAAAAATTTGTAAGTTAAAAAAAATCATCATCGTAGAATTGAAGATTTTTTAAAAATACGATCTAAAATAAAGCAATGAAAAAATTTTGTTTTTTTTTGGGTCGCGACATGAACATATTTCTCAAATTTGGGTCACGGCATAAAAAAGTTAAGAACCACTGCTCTAACCCATGATCCGTCTACCACTCAGGATATTTAACGTCAGCACTGTGGTCGGTGTGAGCCGGGTGCGGAATTCGTGTCGACCAGCCATCGCTGGGATTCGAATCCGGTTGAATGCTCTATCCTCTAATCCACCACGGCACCATGCCTTAGCACCATGTTAAGGTTGTTGCAAATTTGAAAGATATTGTTGTTCAACACGTTTTCTGACAGTGTACTTTGCTGTCGCTTCCATTTTACTCTGGTGCCCGCATGATTCTTGATTTAAATAAAGCTGATTGTTTTTTCCTAAATGTTTTCTCAAAAATTTCTTACTAACAATGTTTCTTCTCTCTAACAATCGTTACATAAAGGGAGAAGTTTTGAAGATCTGTCGTTTCTGACTTGAAGATAAAAAAAAAAAACTTTTTAATATTTATATTCATATTTTGACATGAAGCTTTCAAATATTTTAATTTTGGCCATAAACATAAAATAGTTAAAACCACTCTGTCTCTATGTAATAAACAACCATATTTCACAAAGCTCAACTTGAAGTAAGTTAGAAGCACTGTTAATTCATGTATTTTTCAGAGAATATTTAAATGTTCTTATTTTCATAAAGATATTGATATCTAAATCGGTTATAAATATTTCCTCGGTTATATTACCTTTCAAGATGTCTAAAATTTTCCTATTTCTGAGAATGAAAAAGAATTTTTAAGATCTTGTGAACAATAGCTATTGAAATATAATGTTTCGTGAAAATGAAATGTATCAATTTGTTTAGTTATATTTCACATTTAAAGCTAAGATGATAAATAATAATAGCAATTAACTCAGATGCAACAGCTTGCAAAATAGAAGGATGAGCTGTTGAATATCGTTGTAAACTGAAGATGAGTTTTTCTTCGCTGAAATTCTAGTTAGTGATTATTTTCAGAAGTCGAAGAAGTAAATCAGGAAAATAAAACTTTTCGGCTTATTTTCTCGTGGTTTAAGAGCATTTTCTTGGAAATTCTAAAAGCACATTTCCGGAATTGATGTTGAGTGATAAAGGTTGATGTTGAGTGATAGGGCTATAACGAATCACATTTAATTTTTATGAAACATTGTGTTTCTTCTTTTGAATTTTAAAAATTACAAGGAATTATTTTAACTCACTCTTACCTTAGTGTTTGATCTAGGCAACACGAATTTCATGAAATTTACATTTTTATCCCTTGAATAACGCTACTTTTCAGCTAATAAACATTTCTCACTGCTGTTTTCGCGTTCATTTGTTAATAAACGAACTCTTTTTGAGAATTCATAATTTTAGTGAGCAATTTAGTTTCAATAATCATAATTTTTTTATTTATTGAAGGGAAAATTTGAAAAAAATTTCAATGAAAAAGTAAATTTGTTTTTAGCGAACAATTTATAGTTAGTTTAAATAAAATTGTTTATAAAAAAATCGTTTTTATAAACAGTGTGGAACACAATGGAATTGTAAGGTAAAATAGTCCCATGTAATTTTTAGTTTTTTTTTACTTAACTTCATTTCATTTACTTTAATAATGATGTTTTTCAATTAAAAACCTTTTGATTTTTAGTTTTGAGAACTCATTTAGTAATAGACAAACTCTTTTCGAGAAATTGTCATTTGGTAATTGTTATTCTTTATTCATGGATGAAAATTAATTTTTTTTTTCAAAAGAAAATGGAGCTGGCTTATTTATGAAAAGGAATTGTAGGAAAATTTAAGGCAATTCAGTTTTATTTTTTCAGTTAATCTAACCTTAAAAAAAAAGAAGTCAATAGACACGTCAATAACTATTAAGGTGCGAAAAGACCTTAAAGTACGTTTATTTAAATTTTCCTTAATTTCTTCATCCACTAATTTTTTTTCCTTTTATGAATGCATTTAATAAAAGAATTTTTATTGTCTTTTAAAACAATACAGAAAAAACCATTTTCTTTTTAAGAAAATGCAGTATTTTATTCGAATACTATTACAGTATTTTTATTTCATCAGAAATTCTAATTAGCATGAAAAGTAATTTTCCATGATAAAAATTAATTTCAAAATGTTTTGCTCTAAATTGTACTAAAGATATGCAATTTTTATACCTAAATTGCGATGAAATTGATGACTATAAGCACAAATAACTCAAGTAATTGTATTTTAATTATTTTTTACCAGGTTTCAGTTTTTTAATATAGGTATTCTTTTAAATGGGTATCTTTAAATAATAACGAAGTTATTAAATTGTTAATCTGTCAGAGATGATTTTCTTTTTATTAAGGGGAAATAAATTTTTCAAAATTTCAACCCAGATAGACCTTTAGTTATTCATTATTTTAGAAGAAAATAATCGCCAAATACGGAATCGTCTTAAGATAACACTTGCCGGCTTGCAGCAGCCTATAAACTGTAGGCAGAAGACGTTCATTTTTAACATATTATTATATAATATGAAATATCACGCACTTTTTTCTATTAAAATTTATTTAGAAAAAAATTTGAAAGCATAACCCGTGAACGAACCAATAATTTATTGAAAATCTATAAACTTATAACGTAGCCGTGATGGCTAAGGGAATAGAGCGTTCATTTTCCAATGAGGTGAACTAGGGTTGAATGCCAGCGATAGCTGATTAATTCGAATTCCGCACCCGGCTGGCACTGACCACAATGCTGACGTAAGATATCTCAGTGGAAGACGGATCCTGGCTCGCCTTGCCGTCGAGCTGACAGAGGGAGGTTTTCCTCCCTATGTGACGCAAACGCGGATTAGTTCCATCAAAAAGTCCTCTACAAAGGCGAATTTCTCCAAACACTTGGTCCAGGAGTTCACTCGTCTTCTGGATTAGGTTCAAAATTACAAGGCTATGGAATTGAATATTAGTAGTCGTAAGCCCAAAATTGTGTCGGCTGTTCAACGACGGTTATTAAATATAAAACTAATAATATTTTTATTTCAATTAGTAAAAATCTTGGAAAAAATTAAATTTTTCAGGTTATTATATGCCTTTGGAGGAAGAAAAAAAGACAATTTATGGACGCTTTTTGTAATAAAAAATACACTTTGCCTACATTCAAATTTTATTTATTATCCTTCTTTGAATTACAACAGTCGTCGATATTCTGAATAAATGTACAAGAAATATACACTTCAACAATTTACAAAGAATATCAGTCATTAAACGATCCCATCACTTTTTTTTCCCTTTCATACATTTTTTTAAACATTTCTTGGACCGTTTTTAGTTGGAAAAAAAAGTCAATTTTAATGAGGAAGGACAACATTAAAAAACTGGAAACGACAATTGTGTATTACATTAAGTATTACATATCACACAAATAAAATTCTGGTTATCACATGTATCTTTGGCACACAAAAAAAAATGACATTTTCCCCTTTTTACACTGATATTTATATGCACAATTATAAAACACTTTTTAATAAATGGTTGGTTATAAACAATATTTCTGAAATTTTCTTCTCTTTCAAATATACATTTTAAATATATAATATTTATTGTAACTGGTTTTGGTAGATGCTGCAGCCACGACAATGAACGATGCTTTAAAAGTTGATCATGTTAAGCCATTATTTTCAAATGTAGGCTTATTTCTCATGAAAATTATTTAACATAAATTTTTGTAAAAGTAATCAAAAGGCTGCTGAAATTCATCGTAATAAAATTTGGTGTTTCCTTTTTACACTGATATTTGCATGAATAATTATTTTAAAAAAAATTTTATAAGAATATTTTGTCATGAACAGTGTTCCTAAAACATCTTTTTCCCCCAATTGAACATTATAAAAACATATTTATTGTACCTTTTTTAGGCTAATGCTGTAACTATGATATAAGCTTTGTAGATTTAATCTATTTTCCAAAATAAATTTAGTTTTTTATTTCTCACAGAATATGTACTTTATTCACATAAGAAAGTTTGTAACCAAAATTGCAGTTTTTGTAAAAGTAATCAAAAGGTTCCTGAAATAATTTAATAAAATAGATTTTCCCTTTTTAAAATGATATTTATATGAATAATTGTTATATAGATAAACGAAGAAAGATTAAGGCTTTTTGAAAGAATGTTTGGTTATAAATAGTATTCATGAAACCTCCTTCTCTTTCAATCACGTTTTAAAAACGTTATATTTATTATATCTAGCTTTGAAAAATGCTACAGCCATAACAATGCTTTATAGACTTAATGATGTTTAACCATTATTTTCAACTATAGTAAACTTATTAGCTTATTATTTCTCACAGAAATTTTGTGACCTAAATTACAGTTTCTGTATAAGTTATTGAAAATTTGCTGAAAATCATTGTATTAAAATTAGATTTTTCCTTTTTTGCATTTACATTTTAATATAAATAAATGTTTTTAGGACTATTTTTAAAAGAATATTTAGTTGAAAAAATGTATCCTTAGAACACGTTTTTTCATTCATTTAACAATATAAAATCGTGATGTATTATCATCTGATTCTATTAAATATTGCAGCCATGACAATAATCAGTGCTGTGTTTATTTAATCATGCTTAGCCATTTTTTTTCAACGTAGATTTAGATCAATATTTCTCACAGAATGCGTACATCATTTTAATGAGAAATTTTGTCACCATAAGTCGCAGTTTGTGTAAAAAGTTTGGTTTATCTTTTTTTAATGCTGCTAACGTACGATGATTTACTACTTTTTAAACTTAATTATATTCAGCCATAATTTTCCATAAATTTAGTTCTATATTTCTTACACAATATGAGCTACATAACTGTTTTTAAAAAGCAGACAAAGAAAGTTACCAACAAATATGTAACCAGCGCCTTTTATATTCCTTGTTCCTTACCAAAATGACAACAACAAAAAAATTATTTTCACATTTGGGTCTGCATAGCAAAAATCAAACTATGATGAAAATACCAAAATTTGTTGAATCACTACAGAGGAAAGCAGGGTAAAAAGCACGAAAATCAGTTTTATAGCAGGAAAAAACTTGACGGTGTTTCTACTGGTCCCCGCCCACAATATTCTTCAGCAATAAAATATGTTTTGGTGTTTTTAAAATTACAAACAATACATATATACGATTCGTAATTCTCGTTGAAATATTAATTTTCCACTGCCTTGTTAATCTTTATTTTTCACTTCATTTTGACCAGAATTGTAAAAAGTATAAATTATCAAGGGCACTGATTATTAGATTACCCTATATGAATATCAATATCTAATTGACTAATCAGTCGTCAATAGTGGGAGGCGGTATTATGGTCATTGTTCAATATTAGACTCAAATAGAAGAAAAAATAGTTGATATGGCCGTTTAATAGAGATGGGTTAATCATCTGAAGGTTTAATACTAGAAAAACTTACAGGAAGGTAATGATATTGTTATTTTCTTCATTTATGTGTTACATGTTAAAAAAAAATTTCTTTTAGGAAATAAATAAAGAATTACAACATCTAGCTGCTTAACATTTTTGGCTGCTATTTTGGAAAATTTGGCTAAATTAAACTACGTTTATTTTCGAAATAAACAAATGAAATTCGTCGTTGTTTGAAAATTCTATGTGTAAGTTTATATCTAGACATTGTAAACCAACCTGGTAGGAGTATCGTCATATTTCAATATGAGATTCAAATTAGGTGGGGGGAAATAACTAAATACTGGAGAGTTAAACATTTGAAAAGTCTATTATGCTTGACAATAAGTCATTGGAAGGAAATTATATTATTATTTTGTTTCAATAAGTTTTAAACGTGAAAAAAAACATAATTTACAGCAAACAAATTAAGTATAACAACATCTATGATTAACCTGATAATTAGCTAATTAACATATGAACAATGCAACGCAAGTTTGTAATATCTAGGCATTGTAAACTGACCTGATTGGAGTATCGTCATGGTTCAATATAGTAAGATCCAAATTAGGTGGGGAGAAAATAACTAAATAGGAACGAGTTAAACATCGAAAGAGTCTTTTAAGCTGCTTATTTTTGGCTGCTATTTTGGAAAATCAGGCTAAACTAAACTACGCTTATTGTTGAAATAAACACATGAAATTCGACTTTGTTTGAAAACTCAATGCACAAGTTTGTAACTATGCATTGCAAGCCAACTTGGAGTATTGTCATTGTTCAATATGAGCTCTAAATTGGGTGGAGAAAAAATACTAAATAGTGGCAAATTGTCTTTAAAGGCCTATGCTTGACAAAAAGTCATTGGAAGGAAATTAATTATTATTTTGTTTCAATAAGTTTTAAACACGAAAAAAAACTTAATGTTCGGCAAACAAATCAAGTATTACAACATCTATGATTAGCCTGATAATTAGCTAATTAACATTTGTGGGTTGCTTTTTTTTTGAAAATATGGCAAAATTAAAAAACATTCATTTTCGACACAAAATATAGGTGGTTCATGTATCACATGTTTGTCATAAGTTCTGATATTCTCCAACTGCTAGCCTCAGTTCGACCAAATCATTGATGGTCGATGAATTGACATGGTTCTGCATCGAGTCCAGAACTGTTGAGAAACGAAACTGCTGCTGCAGTTGATTCTGTTGATGTTGACTTGTGGTGGGTTGGTCATCAAGATGTGAGGAATGATTGCCTTCAGGCTTTATGTCCAGTTGGTAAAGAGAGTCATCAGGAGATTTCCGACTGTTGGAGTCGTTGTCTTCATTGAATGAATCACTTCCTGTACCACCAGCTTTTCCTTGGTCACCGCCCACGACATCTCTACAAAAAAAATAATAAATAAATAAATAATAATTACAATAATTAGGAAATTTTGGTATAAAATTAAAAACTTTAAGTATTTCTGATAGCTTTAAGCGTGATTTTGATAGTGTTAAGTGCGATTCCGATAGTATTAAGTGTAATTCTGATAGTGTTAAGCGTGATTCTAAAAGTGTTAAGTGTAATTCTAAAAGTGTTAAGTGTGATTCACATAATTAAAGGCTACATTTACTAAAAGCATTTCTAGTCGTATGCAAACCTTTGACACTTCATCGATTTTAATGACATTTCATCATAATTTCAAAAATGTTACCTTTATTTTAAGGTTCTTAGTTCTGTGCAAACCTTATGACACTTCTTTGGTTTTTATGACATTTTATTCTATATTAAGTGTTACATTTCTAGTTATATGCGAACCTTATTACACTTCATGGATCGATGACATTTCATCATAATTTCAAAAAAGTTACCTTCATTTAAACGTTCATATTTCGGTGCAAACCTTATGATTCTTCATTGATTTTTATGACATTTTATTATAATATATCATATTAAGTGAAACATTTCTAGTTATACGCGAACCTTGTGAGACTTTATCAATTGATGACATTTCATCATAATTTCAAAAATGTTACCTTTATTTTAACGTTCCTAGTTCTGTGTAAACCTCATGACAGTTCATTAATTTTTATAACGCTTCGTCATAATATATTAAGTCTAACATTTCTAGTTTTATGCGAAACTTATTACACTTCATCAATCGATGATATTTCCTCTTAATTTCATAAATGTTACCTTTACTTAAACGTTCCTAGTTCTGTGCAAATCTTACGACTCTTCATTGATTTTCATGACGTTTCATCATAACTTAGAGTATGACGTTTCATTAAGTTTAACATTTCTAGTTTTATGCGAACCTTATCACACTTCATCAACATTTCATCATCATTTCAAAAATGTTACCTTTATTATGAGTAACGTTTCTAGTCGTATGCAAAACTTAAGACACTTCGAATTTTTGACATTTCATCATAATCTTAGCAATAGTACTTCTTTTAAGAGTTATGTTTCTAGTTGTATGCACTCCTTATAGCACTTAATTGAGTAAAAGTAGCATTCCTCATTATGAGGGAAATGTCTTTTTCATGTTTACAAAATTAGAATAAACTAAATCAGAAACAAACATGGATGAGCACTAAACATCATTAGCTTTTATAACTTAATTCTTCTCAAATGGAGTCAGAGTATTCATGTTGTTCAGCTTAATTCAAATGTAGTACTAAGAATACCCTTTTGTCCTTTGGAAAATTATTATTTTAGTAGCTTGAAAAAGAAATCATCCCTGTTTTGAGAAAATCAAAACAACTAATCTTAACGACTAGGAAAAAAATCTCAACAAATATAAATTATGTCTAAGCTAAATATTAATATGAAATTAGGAATAAAATATAATAAAATTTTAAAACTTAAGTACATAAGTCATTCGTGTATATTAATAGGAGCAACTATTCCAATCTTTAGAAATCAAAAAATTTCAACGTAAGATTTTATTGCAAATTCGTTTATTCTTGATTAATAATCGTAAAGAAGGAAATTTATAAGTGAATTCTAAGTTTTTAAAAAAAAACACATCTTGGTCGGATTTTTTGTAAGTCCCTTCGGTTCATATATTTTCAGTTAATTTTACACTGAAAAAGACTATATTAAAATAGATTTACTAAAATACTAAAATAGACTTGTACTAAAATTACTAAAAAAAGAAACCTTTTATTTGAGTACAATCTCTTTTATCGAATCTCTTTTCAATCTCCTCGATCTATTTTCAACGAATTATTTTATTGCAAATTCTTTTATTCTTGATTAATAATCGTAAAAAAGGAAATTTAAAAGTGAATTCTAAGTTTACAAAAAAACATATAATCGAGGTCGGATTTTTTGTACGTCTCTTCGGTTCATATATCTCCAGTTAATTTTACGCTAAAAAAGACTATATTAAAATAGACTTATTAAAATACTAAAATAGACTTATACTAAAATTACTAAAAAAGAAACCTTTCGATTGAGTACAAACTCTTTCAATCTTTCGAGAGAAATAAAAACTTCTAATTAAAAAGGTAGTTTTAAAGGTAATTAAAGTTGTGGGGCTTCTAAATACCACTGGATGTGATAAGATTACTAAAATCTTCTAATTAAAATCAAATTTTTCTCCAAAGACAGAAATTATTTTTAAATACACAGTAATTCAAAAAGGATAAAATTTCTTATTATTTAGTAAATTTGTCTTCTACTGGTTTGAATCACCAACAGATTTACAAACCAATTTTGTTTTAATTAAATATAATTAATTTTTTCTACTACTTTCAATTTGTCTGTCAGAGATAAAAATTATTTTACAACCTCTACGTTTAAATCCTGAAAATCTTTTTATAATAACTTTAAAATTATATATAAATGGAGAGCTGCTTCATTAGCAAAATTTTAAAGTAAATAAAAAAATATACATCTTTCACATTATAGAAGATCAGGTGAAAGCGCAAAATAACAGCTGCATTATGTCCATCTTCCGTATTCTTCCTCACCCGTCAGAATTTATCTTAACAGATCTCAGCTGTTTAGTGAGCTGCAATAAACCATATATTTTGAGAAGAACCTTCTTCGCCAAATATTCGAAGGAGTTATAAGTACATTTTTCAAGTCCTAATATCTTCTGATATTGATAATATTTTTATTGAGTTGGTAAAATAACTTTTTTTTTCATTTGGATTCTGTTTTATTTTGCATAATTCCAGTTACATTAAAAACAAATTTATAATAGAGTTTAATTTTATTTAAAATTCATAAATTTATTCCACCTTTCAAAAATGCAATAGCTTTCTTAGAATATCAGCACTTGAGATAAAAGTTTGATTCCGCTTAAAATTCATATTTTTATTTCTTGCCTCAATCCCAGGGCCGTTTTATCCATTAGGCACTGCAGGCAACTGCCTAGGGGCCCTGTGCTACAGAGACAAAAATTGACTATGTTTCTCAAACAGTAAAAATTTAATTCGAAATTTCAATGACGATTGTCTTGCTCTGTACATTATATCGACGCTATTTTAGTACATTTCTGAACGCATTCCAAATTAGATATTAATATTATGGTAGTTAGTTCATATATAACGCAGTAATATAATCGCGAGCAATTTTATCGCGGTAATTTTAACGCCGACTAATCAGATGACTATACAGCAAGAGCAGCTTTTTTAACACAGCACGCTTGAAAAATGAGCAAAATTCTACGTTGTGAATGCACACTTACTGTTCTGGTACCTACCATAGGTATGTATATTCTATGGTCAAGCTACCAAAGAGTCTGTAAAAATAAGGTTGGCAGTATTGGTTCGTTCGTCGCATGACTGGGGAATTCCCCGATCCGCTAAATACATACGTTGTATTGTGTCATAGACAACATTTTTAATGTAATCGTTGAATTTTCACTTCGTGCAATTGAATTTTCACTTCGGCTGAACGTTTCCTTAAGTTTCTTCTCATACAGAACCACAAAGGGGAAGAACTAGCCACCGAGAATTGAAACTAATTAAAAACTGTCTTCGTTCAACTATGTCTCAAAACCGTTTAAATTCATTGGCCTTAATGGCAATTAAAAATGATGTATTGGAAAAGGTTAACTTTCAGGATGTCTTGAACGATTTTGTAACAAAAAAAGTTAGAAGAGTTAATATTTAAGCTTATTGTATGATTTTTTATAAATGCATATATTAATTACTAATATTCTTTTCGTTTGATTCAATATTTTTATTGAATAATGTGATAATATACTATACATAATATACTTTGATATATAATAATTAGGAAGTTAGAAGACGGTAGGGGAGGGGGCCCGAGACGAGCATTGCCTAGGGGCCGCGACATGCATAAGCCGGCCCTGCTCAATCCAGTTATATTTTTGTAATATTAGCAACTTTTGTAACAGAATTTCATTCCGTTTAGAATTCATAAATTTATTCCTCGCCTAAATCTTGCAATATTTTTATATAATTAAAAACTCTTCCAATAATATTAGTTCTGTTTTATTTTTGTAGTATTTCGCTTTTAATTCATAAATGTATTCAAAGGTAAACTTTTATAATTAATAATAACAACTTTTTCGTTAGTTACTATTAGGTGTAGTAACTTATTTTAGTTTAGTTAAAAATCCTATTTTAGAAGCATTTCTAGTTAATTAATTTAAATATTACAAAATTATTACAAATATAAGGACTCATGGAAGAAGTTTTTATGTTTATAAAATATTAAACTTTATTTTATTTTTTTCCATCCTTTTTACATCAACAAATAATTTTAGAAATTCATATTCCAAAGTTAATTTTAACTTTCAACTAGTCATTCGTTAATAAAACATTTTCAATACCTGTAGTTGCAAATATGAAAGGGTGAAAAATCCAATAGTTTGTACGAAATATGACAAATTTTCAGCGAACCATTAAGTAATATCTAAATTAAATTTATGGAGGTAGTTTTATGGAATTTCTTAGCCAATGAAATTTTAAGAAAAATTACGCTAATGACTACAAATTTAAGTGTATTATAAATTAATTATGACTATAAATTTAAGTAGAACAGAATGTTTTCCTTTTATGATTGAGAAATTTCTTATTTAAATAGTAGTGGAAATGAACTAACTAATATGTAACCTATTTTTTAATCAATTTGAAAAATACATGAAAGGCTGAAAATCGAATAGATTGTACGAAGTATGGTAAATGCAACATATTCTTTAATCAATTTAAAAAATAGAGTCCTGACTAAAATAAATTTAAAATTTTTGAATATTTAAAAATATGAAGCTTCTAACTAATTACTGTAAAATACTTTATCACTTAAATTTTATTATATGCTAACTTAATTCATAATTTGGAAGGAAGTAATTATAAATGCTTAAGTATAAGAAGTAATATGAGTAAGAAATATATTATGAAAAGGATTTTTTTTTTCAG